ACACATTTTTAAATTTAATTTATTTATTTTTATATTATGTGTATAAGCGTTATGCCTGCATGTGTGTAAGTGCACCCATGTTGTGCAGCGCCAGCAGAGGACAGAAGAAGGTATCAGATCCCCTGGAACTGGAGTTAAGGTTGGTTCGTAGCCGCCATGTGGGTGTTGGGAATCGAACCTGGATCCTCTGCAAGAGCAGTCAGTGCTCTTAACAGCTGAGCCATCTTTCCAGCCCTGCACATACTTATTTTTATTGTATGTGTATATGATGTGTGTATGCCTCCAAGCACATGTGGAGAGTGCAACTTGAGGGAGTCGGATCTCTCCTTCCACCATGTGGGCTCTGGGGCTAGAACTTGGGTCTTATGTGATCGGCACCTTTATCCACTCAGCCATCTCTCTAGCCCATACGGTGCTTTATTATCGTTATTTGGTTATTTGTGAGACTAGAGTTCTGGCTGTTTAGCCCAGGCTGGCCTCATTGTCTTAAGTTTCAGGCCAGACTGGTCTACATAGCAAGTTCCAGGCCAGTTTTATGTGTATCAACGCTGACAGTGATTTCATCTCCACCTCCTGAGTGCTAACATTCTAGGCATGTGCCTCAGTTGGCCCAACAGGTTTAAAAATCACAACCACCATAGCCCTTGTGTTTTAATAATAGGGCTCTGAAGATGGCTTGAAAGAGAAAAATGAAATAATTGCCCGACTAGAAGAAAAAACGAATAAAATCACTGCGGCCATGAGGCAGCTGGAGCAGAGGTACAGCATCTCCGTATGTGTTCTTTCCCCTCTGTCCCCTCTCTTCATTCACCTCTGACACCTGTCAGAAAACCAAGCAGCACAGCCTCCTTAGGGCCCATTTTTTGTTTCCGCTGAGCCAGGTTTTGCTTCATTTTAGTTGCTGCATGGAATCAAGTTGCCTTATGTTACACTGATTCATCTTGAGTTGCTCTCTTGTAGACATTTTTAAAAGGTTAATACCTGCAAACTCACGTCATTCTATGACATAAAACCTAACACGAAGACCTTGGAAAGAGTGAGGTGCCGGGCAGAGTCTGAGTGGGGATGGTCCCAGTGGTTTCTATGCTGAGTAACTGTCGGTCCTCACTGTTCCCATCTCTGTCTGAAGATTCCAGCCAGTAGTTTGGTAGTTTGGCTTCTTTGAGCTTAGGCCCCTCAGTCTAACCTGAGATCTGATTTTATTGAGATTAAATTCTTTGATATTGGCATTTCTCACTTTTTACTGTTGGAAAATGTGATGTATCCATTGCTCTGTCATGGTGGTGTCAACATGTGTCTTGTCATTACTTTCTTTGAACTTATGAAAAACATAACTATTAATGCTTTACTGACATGAATATTCTTTTATTGACATCCTTTCTTCTTTTTTCTTTTTTCTTTCTTCTTTTTTGTTTTCTTTATCCCCATTTTTACACTTTGGACATCTTTATTACCTTTTTCTGTCTTTGATTTCTGTCCATCCCATTATGAAGTGACAATGATTTGTTAACTCAGACTAGGACAATAGCAATGTCACTGGTGAAATGTGCCACTAGTGACCCTCAGGACCAGTACAAGCTGGTCAAAGACATTTCCTTCTGAAACCAATTGGACCACAGGGGAACCCATTCTTTTATGATACAGTAAATGGAAAAGAATCTATGCTATCCCATATTGCCTAAGGGCCTTAGGAACCCTGCACGTTTTGTGGTTGACTGCTGTGGTATACATTGCCATTGGGCAGAGCAAGTGCACTGGGCTCCCTGAAATACATTCCTCAACCTTGTGCACAAGGGCAGATTTGAGTATCAGCCACATGGAGGGCAGGATTTTCAAACACAGTTTTATCTTTTTAGCTACTTTTTGATGGAAAGCGTATAAACTTTTGGTTTCATGCTGTGTTGGCAGATATTTCCTCCCCCATTGACATACTCTTGGCCTAATGGCTCCCTTACTTTTTTCGGGGGGGTGGGCATGGTCGCGATGTAGCCCTGGCTGGCCTAGAGTTTGCAATGTAGACCAGGCTGACCTGGAACTCAGAGTTCCGCCTGCCTCTGTCTCCTGAATGTGGGAATTAAAGGCGTCCACCACCGTGTCCAGCTCCTTACTGATTTTTTAAAATACTTTTTCAAGGCAACTTCTAACCCAGGTTGGCTGTCGCCCTGGGCTTCAGCATCTGTTTTCTAGTTCCCTTTGCCCTCTTGTGTAATAGCACAACTGCAAGGCCTACCTCACTTTTACTTTACTTCCTGTAACCTTAGAGAAAAAAGCTTGAGTCCACCCCTACTGCCTTAATGTTTTAATTTAAATTTAAACCTAGAGGTAACTTAAGTGTTCTTTCCTTAGAAGCTTTTTATATTCCTGGGGTGTTGTCCCACTAGAACGTTTTTGAGGCACATAAGAAGAGGCAGGAGGGTTTTTTTTGTTGTTGTTAGTTGAACAGAAATAGAAATTTATTTCTCTTGTGATTCCTTACAAAGAGTTAATGTTCCTTGAACCCTGGGAAATATTTTCTTATAAAATATTGAAAATAAGCCTCCTAAATCTTAATGGCCAAGATTAAGGCAAGAAGTGGAACCCAGGAAAAGCAATGTCATAAATAAAAACAGAAAAAAATGAGGCTCCCAACAGTTTAAGCTGATTTTTATTATTCAGTGTTGAGAAATAAAAATTATCTTTAGGGAATGATGATGCCAACTAGCATTAAATTCTTTTTGAATCTTATATAAATCTATATATACATACACACATAAATATATAATACAGCTTTGGCATAGTTTTAGCAATTGCATAAACATCTTCGAGGAAGGACTCTGTTGTTATTGGAGTAACTGTCACTCTTCGCTCTTGGCCTTGTAGCACACTTGACTCCTGGCGTTCACATCTTAGCATCACATATAAGAGGTGGCGTCTTCACCTACTACAGACCTAAACACTCTGCTTTTCATGGTTTTGTAAAAAGGCAGTAACATACCTAGCTATATGTTGAAATTTGATTCATTATGCTATGATGGTAAAGGCTGTATTGCTTTGCATTAATTATGAACAAGAAATAAAGCAAATTTGAAGATACTATTCTGGGCGTATTATGTCATATTGGAAAAAAGAAATCACAAAGCTATTTCTAGACATTGTGTGGCTCTTTCATGTTTGAGTTTGTGAGTTCTCCCCCAGACTTTGTTTTCATTTAGAAATGTTTCTATTTCCCCATTTTTCTTTTATTTGTCTTCTTCACCCTTTTACACCCTAGTTCTAGCCTCAGTTTTACCCAAAGTTGATTTGAATTACACCAGATTGCAGCAAGCAGAGAAGGCGCAAACAGATGTGGAAGATGAGGACGAGAGATACGTCCAAGAACACCTGAGCCAGTCCGACAGCCTGCAGAGACAGATCTCGCAGAAGGAGAAGCAGCTGTGAGTGTTCTGCTCCTGGAAACAAATACTGACATGAGCTCTACACTGTGTAATGGCAGAATGCCCAGATTTCTATTTAATAATGCCAGCTAGTGTGTGTACTTAAAAAAAAAAAGTTTGTGTTTGTGAGATGTGGGAGATGGCTCAGTGGTGTGGGAGATGGGGAAGATGGCTTAGTGGTATGGTAAAGGCACCTGCCACTGAGAATAATGACCTGAATTCAATTCTGGGACCCACACAGTGGAAGGAGAGAACTGATTTCCACAAGTTGTCTTCTGATCTCCACACATGCACCACGGCCCATACATGTGCCCCCCTCCAAATAAATAAGTAAATAAATAAATAAATAAGTAAATAAAAATAAAATCTAATTGAAAAAGAATCGGGTTAGGGATTTACTTCAGTGGTGGAGCACTCCCCCTAGCATTGGGGAGGACTTGAGTTCAACCCTCAGAACGATACACACACGCACACACACACACACACACACACACACACACACACACGAATGGAGCACTCCCCTTAGCATTGGGGAGGACTTGAGTTCAACCCTCAGAACGATACACACACACACACACACACACACACACACACACACGAAACAAATTGAAAATGTCAGCGATAACACTTAGTATTTACTCCCTTTATTATTTTATTTTGTCTTTTTGAGACAGGGTCTCCCTGTAGCTCTAGCTGGCCTGGAACTTGGTATATAGATCAGGCTGGCCTCGAACTCACAGAAATCCACCTGCCTCTGCCTCCCAATTCTGGGATTAAAGGCATGCGCTACCATGCCCATCTGTTATTTATTTTTTTGAGACAGGGTCTCCTTGTAGCCACAGCTAGCCTGGAACTCACTATGTAGACCAGATTGGCCTCAATTCCAGAGAGAGCCACCTGCCTATGTCTCCTGAGTACTGGCATTTGAAGACCCGGGCCACCATGCTTGACTGTAAAGTATCTTTTTAAAAAGATGTGTGTGTGTAATCACATGGAGGCTAGAGGACAACCTGGGGAGTCATCCTCAGGAATTCCATCCACCTTCTTTGAGACAGGGTCTCTCATTGGCTGGAGCATGCCAGTTAGGCTACACTGGCTGGCCAGTAAGCCCCAGGATCCTCCTGTCTCTCCCTGCCCAGCTCTGAGGCTACAGACTTATCTTATGTGTCCCAGGCTGGCCTAGCACTCCTTGTGTAAGCAAGGATGACTTTGAACTTCTGATCTTCCTGCCCTACCTCCTGAGTGCCAGCATTATAGGTGTGTGCCATCATGTCTGGCTTATGTGGTGCTGGGGAATCAAACCCAGGGCCTTGTATATGCTAAATAAATGCTCTACTCTGAGCTCCCATCCCCAGCCCGTTCTTTTCTTTTTAAAGATTTTTGAAATTATGTGTAGTTGTGTGTGTGTCTGTGTGCATATTATGTGTATAAGTGCTAGTAGAGACCAAACAGGTCATCAAGGCCCCGGAGCTAGAATTACAGGTAGTTATGAGCTGCCAGATACAGGTGCTAGGAGTTGAATTTAGGTCTGCAAGAGTAGCACCTGCTCTTAATTATATAGTCATGTCTTCAGCTCCCTGTTGTTTTCATTTATTTATTTATTATTTATTTATTGTATTGCCTGCATGTATGGAAGTGTAGCATGTGTGCAGTGCTCACGGAGGTCAGAAAAGGTCATTGGATCCTCTGGAACTGGAATTAGAAAGGATGTTAGCCACCATGTGGGTGCTGGGACTTGAACCTGGGTCCTCTGCAAGAGCAGCCAGGGCTCTTTACTGCTGAGCCGTCTCTTCTCCCTCCCCTGTTTTCTTTTAATAACAAAAACAGTGCATATTTACTGGGAGGAAACATATTACTGATACTTGTAAAAACTAAAATGCTTCGTCAGTGTGCATCACTCCTGAGATACTCCTCTATGGACTATGTACTTTGCAAACTCTTTTCTGGGGCTCAGAACTCATTGGTAGAATATGGGCCTATTATGTGCAAGGCCCAAGTTCAAGTCCCAGCGCCACAAAATGAAGAAACAAAAACAAATATACACTTATACATGATTTAATTTTTTTAGCAAAGTTTTAATTACATTTTTTGTGCACATGGGTGTGTATGTATGTGGCATGCATGTGCCAGGCTTGTGCATGTGGAAGTTAGAGAACTTGTGGGAGCTGGTTCTCGCCTTCCATCATGGGCGACTTGGGGATTGAACTTGAGTCAATCACAGGCTTAGCAGCAAGTGTCTTTACCTACAGAGCCATCTTAGTGGCCCTTTAATTTTATTTTTAAAGTGTACTCATAGTTGACAGACTATCTGCAAACATTTTAAACATTTTTTTTTTTTGAAACCAGGTTTTGCTACGTAGCCCATGTTGGCTACTTAAGTGGAGCAAGAGGATCAGAAGTTCAAGGTTATCTTTGGTTACATAGCAAGTTTGAGGCCAGCTTGGGATGAGACCCTGTCTTTAATAAAAAAAAAAGTCTGTGCTCTGAATTTATTTGCCAAAAAATATTTTAAAAATTTTTTTATTTAGCATTTTTATTTTATGTGTATGCGTGTATTGCCTGCATGTAGGTCTGGGAATGGCTTCAAATGTAGCTCAGAGCTCTATGCTGTTAACCTGGACATGTGAAGATAAGAAGGGAATCTTCCAGCCTTATGTTATTCCTTCATTGCCGAACCTGAGTCTTCTGGAAGAACAACCACTGTTCTTAACTGCTGAGCCATCTCTCCAGCCCTGCCAAAAAATATTTATAAAAGAAAATATTGGGACAGGGAATTGAATATGAGCAAAGTACGATGATACATGTGTATGAAAATGTCATCTTGAAACCCATTTTGTCCACTAAAATAATTAAACCTAATTAGCACCTTTCACCATGATGCTTATATGCCTACACTGTACAGTTGGCCATGTTTACAAAGAATGTTAGGGGCTAGAGAGATGACTCAGCAGTTAAGAGCACTGGCTGCTCTCTTGAAGAGGACCCAGGATTGGTTCCCAGCACCCACGTGGCAGCTAACAATCATCTCCAGTTCCAGGGGACCTGATGCCCTTTTCTGACCTCTGCAGGCAGTGCACAACACAGGTACACTTACACACGTGCAGGCAATACACTCATATACATAAAATAAAAATAATTTTAAAAATTTGGGCTGGACATGGTGGCGCACGCCTTTAATCCCAGAGGCAGGCGGATCTCTGTGAGTTCAAGGCCAGCCTGGTCTACATAGTGAGTTCCAGGACAGCTGGGGCTACATGGAGACCCTGTCTCAAAAAGACAAAAAATAAAAATTAAAAAATAAAGAATTCTAGAGAGAGATGGATGTAGGAAAGGAACAGTAAGAGGGAGGGAAGGAAGAGGGAGATCTTCAGGGGGAAGCAGTGGGATCTGTGGGACAGAAGGGGGTTATTTGGGGGCTGATGGAGGAACAGCTAGAGGTGGCAAGGGGACTAAAAGGGATGACTAGCGGAGTGTGATGACATACTATGTATGTCATAGTGAAGTGTCACTTTGTATGATAACTTAAGCTAATAACAGTGAATAAGAGAGCCAGGGGTGGTGGAACACACCTTATAATCCTAGCACCTGGAGGATGGAGTAGAGGCAGGAAGAAGGGGATTTGAGGGCTACCCTTGGCTACATGAGACCCTATCTCAAAAATCAAAAAAATAATAATCTGTGGTGAGTGAAAGGTAGCAAACAAAGAAAAGGAAAACATCTGAGGGAATGCTACAAAGGAGATGCAGGCATTAAGGGTACATCCGACCACTCACTAAAGACGCAGGGTTAAGGGGTACATCCGACTGTCAGAGGAGAAAGATACTGGCGTTAAGGCATACATCCAACTGTCAGTTAAAGATGCTGGCATTAAGGGGTACATCTGACTATCGGGAGAAGCAGCACTGACCTGCTGTTATTCATCATTCAAGGGCGCAGCTGGAAACGGATCTGAAGATTGAGAAGGAGTGGAGACAGACTTTGCAGGAAGATATCCTAAAGGAGAAAGGCGTCTTATCTCATCTGAGAAATGAGACCCAACAAATCGTTAATCTTAAAAAAGTAAATAGTGGTAAAAACTTTCACTATTATATCTTGATAAATGTTAACTTTCTTTTTGTTTTGGTTTGGTTTTTTGGTTTTATTTGAAACGGGGCCTCAAACTGTAGCCCATGCTGGCCTGGAACTCTATGTAGCAATCCTCTGTGTGGCAATCCTCCTGTCTCAGCCTCTGGAGTTTACAGGTATGAGCCACCCACCATGCCTAGCTTCTTAGCTTATTTTAAAAGATACTTTTAGAGCTGGGGATGGTTCAGTTAGTAAGCACTTGCAGGACTTGAGTTCAATTACCAGAAACCACATAAAAATGTGGAGTTGAGAAGGTAGGCATGCTGGCAAGTGTCTTTAAATCTCAGAACTCTGGGAGCTGAGGCAGGTGGGTGGATCTCTGCAAGATCAAGGCCAGCCTGCTCTGCATTGTGAGTTCTAGGCCAGCTGAGGCTACAGGGAAACTCTGTCTCAAAAAACAAAACCAAAACCAAAAGATACTTTATATAATTTACATTTATACAAGGAAACAAGATCTACTACTCATCCTACGGATTATCAGTAGGGAGACTGAATGGAAGAGAGCTGATACACAGAGCAGCCAAGAAGTTTCTTAGGAGAAACTGTGGTAGGCACACCTGGGTAGGCAAAGGCAAGAGGTGTGGGGGTTTAGGAGTAACCTAGGCTATATAATGAATTCCAGGTCAATTTGAGCTACATTAACAAGATACTGTCTCGGAAACAAAGCTCAAGGATATGTATGCCTTCTTATTTAATGGCATGTACATAATTGCATGCATATATACACACACACACATAGACACACACTCATAAAATGGAATGTATATATACATATACACAAATAGAGTTTGTTTTTTTCTGTTAAATTGTATTTTCTGTCTCTTGTTGTTTCGAAGGAATTCCTTAAGCTCCAGGATGAAAATCAGCAGTTGAAAAACATCTATCAGGAACAAGAACAAGCTCTTCGTGAACTTGGCAACAAACTTAGCGAGTAATTCCTTTTTTCCCTTCAACTAAATACTCACTGACTTTTGGAAAAGATATGAATGTACTGACCAACTATACAGAAAGATTTAAGTACATGAAAAAGATAGGAAGAGCTAGCTTTGTGGGGGAGTAGAGGTGTTTTTATGTCTTCAAGGGTTTAGTCTCATGTTAATACAGTGTGATCTTGTAATAAAATGTCTTTGGGGGCACTGGAGAGATGGCTCAGTGGTTAAAAACACTGGTTGCTCTTGCAGAGGACCCAGGTTTGATTCCTAGTACCCTACATGGCGGCTAACAACCATCCATAACTACAGTTCTGGGGGATCCAAGTCCTTTTCTGACCTCTGTGGACATTGCATGACATGAGTGCACTTATACACATGCAAGCAGTATACTCATACATATAAAATTAGAATAAAATAAAATATTAAAATGTTACTGGAATTCTATGAAGAAGGGAACCAGGTGCCTATAAGCTCAGCACTTGGGAGGGAGAGGCAGGAAGGTCAGGATGTTCAAGGTCATCCTCAGCTACGCATAGAGTTCATGACCAAAAATAGGCTGGGCTTTATTTTTGTGTATGTGTCATATGGGTTGGGGGTGCCCTCGAGGCTAGAAGAGGGTGTCAGATCTCCAGGAGCTGGAGTTATAGGTGGTTCTGAGCTGCCATATGGGTGCTGGGAACTGAACTTTGCAGGAGCAGTCAGTGCTCTTAACTACTGAGCCATCTCTCCAGGTCCAACACATTTCTTTTTTCTTTTTTTTCTTTCTTTTTTTTTTTTTTTTTTTTTTTTTTTTCTTGGAACGACAGGGTGTCCCTTGTAGCCCTGGCTGGCCAGGAACTATATTGACAAAACTGGCCTTGATCTCACAGGGATATGCCTGCCTCTGCCTCCTGAGTGCTGAGATTAAAGGTCTGTGCTACCACCCAGCCAACACTTAGATTTCTATACTTCTTGTTCCATTCATTACTATTTTGAAATAAGTCAAACCAGTAAATTCCCTAGCCACACAGGACATTAAAATGTTTTTTTTTTTGGTGGTAGTGAGGGATAGAGATTAGATGAGCACTTTGGTTTTTCTGTTTTGATGCTGGGATGGAACCCAGCATGCTGTTCCACTGAGCTATAACCCCGGCCTGAATCAGCACTTTGCTTTCTTTTTTTAAAAAGTGTGGGTTTTTTTGTTTTGTTTTTGGGTTTTTTTTTTTTTGGGGGGGGGGGTCTTTTTGGGGTAGGGGCTCCCTGCAGCCCCAGCTGTCCTGGAACTCACTATGTAGACCAGGCTGGCCTTTAACTCAGAGATCTGCCTGCTTCTGCCTCCCAGGTACTGGGAAAATGATTTTCTATGAGTTTTAACTTACATGTACGATGTGCACCACATGTGCACCAGAAGGAGACATCAGTTCCTCTGGAACTGGCATTAAGGGGCAGTGGTGAGCTGGCATACAGGCACTGTGAACCAGGTCCTCCGCAAAAGCAGCCAGTGCTCAACTGCTGAACCATCTTTCCAGCCCCCTGGATCGGCACTTTTTAACCTTTACTCATTTGCCAAAACAGTCATTCCAAAATAAAAAATACAAAAAAATTCACTGCTTAGCCAGGATGGCCTTTAACTTCTGATCCTGCAGCTATGTGCCACCATACCCAGTTTATGTGGTGCTAGGGACTGTACCCAGGGCTTTGCACATGCCCTCTCACACACAATAAAGTTTTTAAAAATCAAATTGTAAGCTGGGCGTGGTAGCACATCCTGTAGTCCCAGCACTTGAGAGGCAGAGGCAGGTGGATCTCTGTGAGTTTGAGGCCAGCCTAGTCTACATAGTGAGTTCCAGGCCAGCTGGGGCTACAGGGATACCCTGTTTCAAAAAAAAAAAAAAGATTAAAAAAACCTCAAAAATCAAATTGTAGAGTGAGAGACTGTCTCAAACAAAAAACATAAATAAATAAAAGAAAAACAAGAGGCAGAGGCAGGCAGATCTCTGTGAGTTCAAGGCCATCCTGGTCTACATAGTGAATTCCAGGCTAGCTGGGCTACAGGGAGACCCTGTCTCAAAAAAAAACCAAAAGCAAAAACAAACAAAAACAAAATACAAAACCAAGTTGTACAAATCTGGAAGCATTCAGTTTTGCTTTAGAATAGTTAGAAAAATAGGAAAATAGCCCACTAGCCAGCAGGATTTCATAGCCTATGAAAAAAATGAATACCTTTCTAATAAATTATTAGGTATTTTAGCCAGGTATGGTGCTGCACACCTTTAATCCCAGCACTCGGGAGGCAGAGGCAGGCGGATCTCTGTGAGTTCAAGGCCAGCCTGGTCTACATAGTGAGTTCCAGGACAGCTGGGGCTACAGGGAGACCCTGCTTCAAAAAGGCCAAAAAAAAAAAAAAAAAAAAAAATTTGGACATCTTATTGTTTTTAGGTCCAAACTTAAGATAGAAGATATAAAAGAAGCCAACAAAGCCTTACAGGTGAGTAATGTTTTCCCAAGGAAAAAGCTCCAGAAGGTGCCATCTATAGGTGTGTGGAGGTGGAGGTGTTGATTCCCCAGCACCAGAAGGTGACATCTGTAGGTGTGTGGAGGCTGGGGTGTTGGGAAGGACCTGGTTTGATTCCCCAGCACCAAAGGGTGGAAATGTCCAAGGTATATCTAATGAAGCCCAGGATATAGTGCATCATTGACTGGAACTTGGACAATGTGAGGTGTGGATGCGCTCCTCTCTGTGGTGTTATAGTACCATCTCTAGTCTTACTGACATATTTTCAGAAGGTGGGAAAGTCGCACTATCTTCTACAATATTTACCTAGCTTCTGATGTATCTGCTAAGGGGTATATTAGTATTGATGACAATTTACCTTAGAAATATGCTTCACATCCATGCAAATTGTGGCACGGTAAGTTTTGCTCTGAAGAACTCCAGTTTCCATACCACTGTTACTGTTTATTACTTAGTAGTTCTTAAGTTTTAGAAAGTTACGTGTCCTCACTGACCCTCAATTTTTCCTAAAATGGGCTTCTGATATGCATAGGACTGCTCTGTTGAACAGGTTATTATGTATAAAGGTGGTTGGAACCTATGATATGTGTGGTAGGTAGCACCTATCTGTAATCCCAGCACTCATGAAGACTGAGGCAGGAGGATTTCCAGTTCAAGGCCAACCTAGGCTACACAGCAATTCCTTTTCTCAAAAATAGTAACAAGGCCAGGCATGGTGGTGCACACCTTTAGTCTCGCACTCTGAGGCAGAAGGATCTGTTTGCCTGGTCTACATAGCGAGTTCCAACCACTAGAACTACACAATGGAACCTTGTCAAGTACTAGTCCTAAAAAGACTTAAAATAAAAACTATTTGTCATATGTTCCCTTACCTTAAACCCACCCTAACCCTTGCACCAGAAGGAACCACTGATGTCAGTTCTCTGAGCTGTTTCTTCTGGCTTCTCTCTGTATGCAAAGTAACATGCAATTCATGTTTTTCTTTTTCCTTTTTGTAGTGCTAGAAATCAACCCTGGGGCCTGGTGCATGCTAGGCAAGCACTGTGCTAACCATACTGCCAGCATGTTCCTCTGATTCATCAGTTTCCCACCCAGTTATCAATGCGGTGGATTCATTTCTCATCTTTCTCTGTGTCCTTCTGGTATAATGTGTTTTGTAGGATGCTTCATTGTGTATTTTTCATCATGACTGTTTTAAATGTTGATCCTTGGTGGGCCCAAGATCTTCTTTATGGAGCTGAAGTGATGGCTCAGTGTAAGACTTTACACATCAGAATATGCCTTAATGGGGGCTGGAGAGATGGCTCAGCGGTTAAAAACACTGGTTGTTCTTGCAGAAGACCCGGGTTCAAATCCCAGCACCCACATGGCAGCTAACAACTGTCCGTAACTCCAGTCCCAGGGGGCCCGACAGCCTCTTCTCACCTCCGCGGGCATTGCATGACATGGGTGCACTTACCTATGTGCAGGCAATACACACATACACAAAAAATTTTGAAAAATTTAAGAAAACAATATGCCTTAATGTTTTCATGCATCTTTAGGTAAGTTTTCACTGTCATTCTTGGTGTTTCTGACTTTGCACATTATTATTCATCCTTTTTTTCCTACTAGGGTCTGGTTTGGCTCAAAGACAAAGAAGCAACACACTGTAAGCTTTGCGAAAAGGAATTCTCACTCTCGAAGAGAAAGGTAAGAGGTGGAAAACGAGCCCCAAATCTTGTCAACAAAAATGGCTTCTAACTCATTTCTCAATTTTTCCACTTAATAGCACCACTGTAGAAACTGCGGGGAAATTTTCTGCAATGCCTGCTCTGACAATGAACTGCCTTTGCCTTCTTCACCAAAGCCAGTACGAGTTTGTGATTCCTGTCACGCAATGCTCATTCAGAGGTGCTCGTCTAATTTGCCATGACTCCCAGAACCTAATCTTGCAGAAGTCCCTGCAGTCAATGTACCACATGCACAAAGCATCCCGATTGCAAATGGCTTTCAGCTGGTATTGGTACCAGTTAACCTTCCATGACCTCAGCTTGTGGGGATTTTAAGTTGTATGAGTTAATATTTAGTTCCCTCATTGTTACTCAGAATTTACCACAGCATGCATTATGTGGAACAATCATGTAACCCTTCAACGAAAGGCCAGACAGCACAGCTAACACGCATTTGCCTTATCTTGAGAGGCCTTCTTAAAACAAGGCTTCGGATTGTTTCCTTCTGAACTGTCAGGTTAGCACTTGATGGTGCCTATAAACCTCTTAATGCACTTTAAAGCTTCATAGTTCTTAAAGACTGGAGATGCATTGACTTTATATAAGCATTAGTATTTCAACGCAACATTTTTTTTGAGACAAGATCTCATAGTTACCCAGTCTCACCTGGACTCCGTTACCTTCCTGCCTCAGCCTTTCAAGTGCTGGGATTCTCTGTGTGCCACTACACTTACCCTGTAGGTCTTCCATCATTTTAAGATTCCAATTTAATTTATTTGCTTGCTCTTCTCCTTCCTACAATGGAAAAGGTCCACATTTTATTCCACACATTTCTTTTTGGTCTTTTCTAAACCAGCCATTGTGCTTGCCCACTCTTCATATGGTGGGTTAAGATGCCACTGATCTAACCTCCTTCTTCTTCTGCTCCTGAAGGAACCACCATCCTTTCCAGATGCTAATTTCCTTTTTTAAAGACAGGATCTCACTATGCAGCACTGGCCTGGAATTTGCTATGAGGACCAGGCTTGTCTCCAACTCAGATCTGCCTGTCTCTGCCTTCTGAGTGCTGGGATTAAAGGCATTTGCCACCACACCCAGCCCAGATGCAAGGGCCAGACTCCAAAAATGAAAACCTCCTTCTCCCCAAGAAGAGTTCTTTATAAATCTTTTTTCATTTGGTCTTATTGAGACAGGGTCTCCCTGTAGCCCCAGCTGGCCTGAACTCACTATGTAGACTAAGCTGGCCTGGAACTCACAGAGGTCCGCCTGCCTCAGCCTCCCACGTGCTGGTGCCAGAGGCGTACATTACCAGGCCAGGCTGGAGATCTCTTTTAAGCATTAAAAATAATTTAGCACAGTGGTACATGCCTTCTAGCACTCAAGGCAGGGGCAGGTGGATCAGTAAGTTCAAGGCCAGCCTGGTCTATGTAGAGACCCTGTCTCAAAAATGAAAGGAGAAAAAAAGATTACACTAACCTTGTACAATTAAATACCACTAATCAAGAACTCTATTAATATCCAACATGCACTTTATCAGCCTTTTAGAACTGCCATACAGATTTTACATTCCCAAGAATATTAGATGCCTCTCTGATCCTTTCTCCTCATGAGTATGTACTAAGATTTACATTCTTTCTAAATTGCCAAAGTATACAACCGGTATTTTCATCAGAACCTGTATTTCATCACCTTCTGGTCAAACTTTACTTACATCTGACAGATTTTAATGTCCCTTTTTTCTTGTAGCTGAGGATGGTGTTGAATTTCTGATCCTCTGGCCTCTACCTTCCAGCTGCTTAGTTTACAGGTGTGTGTACTACCATACCTCGTGTTTCCGTATGTGCTGGGGGTGGAACCCAGGGCTTTGTATATGCTAGGGCATGCACTCTACCAACTCATCCCCAGTCCTACCTACATGTCCTTTGTTGAATACTGACAGAAATGGCCTTGAGACAGAATTAAGCTGGGTAAGGTAGGATTTCCATTAAGTTCAAGGCCACCCTGGCCTACCTAAGTGAGCTGTGCTATAGAGATCCTATCTCCAAAAAAAAAAAAAAAAAGGATTATATTCTTGACCTGTTTTATATTGATACAATAGACTTAACATTTTTTTTTTTGTCTTTTTGAGACAGGGTCTCCCTGTAGTCCCAGCTGACCTGAAGGTGTGTGCCACCATGCCCGGCTTAAACTTAACACTTTTATGATTGCTGAAAGTGAGCATAAGTGAAAATTTTCAAGTTTTTTATGTGCTTTAAACAAACTTTAAAATGTTAACACATAGTTAAGATTCCAAGGCTGATTTTCTTCAACAAGACAGCCATGATTGTAACCACCTTTTTTTCTCACCATTCAAGAGTTACATCATCAACATGGGCTTTTTCTGAAGCAGCTTTTATGACAGCATCAGCAGCATACTATTGTTTAGTCTCAGCTTAGAAACAATGGGATGGGCAGTGGGTAGAGTGCTTGCCTTAAGGCCCTAGTTTCAACCCACAGCACCACCACTCAAATCAAACCCCTAATTTTAGAATTTCCTGCTCATTATAAAGCAGTCATAATTTTTAGACTCCACACGCCATCCCCTTACCTAGCCAGTACTACCACAAAGACGCAATCATGGTGCCAAGGAATTCCAACTGTAATTCTCTTCTAATCTGTAATGTTTTTTAAAAACTGTGAATTTTATAAAAACTATTAAATAAAGATTTGAAAAATTATCCTGTTTCAGAGGGGCAAGACTTTGAAACTAGCCCTAGAAGTACTCTCAGGGTTTTGTGCTGGGGACATGGCTCTGTAGGAGGCACAGGGCTAAGCCTCTAGTTGCTTTAGGTCAGTCTTAATACACAGGCTATGGCACTCCCTTTTCTTGACCAAGAAATCACTCCTTGGAGTCACTGTTTCTGAAATCTCAATTTTGACATAACAGTGTTTTCTAGAAACGTGAATTACAATTAGTAACTGACACAAATTAATCTAGGACAGACAACATTCCTTTTTCTCCCACACTGACATTTATTACATGAATAACATTTGTAGCAAAAAACAAGTTTAATAACTGAATTCACATTGACAGGTTTCATTTTGATCCATTAGCCAATTTGCAAAAAAGCAGTATTGATCAAAGCAATATGAAAAAGCACCCTTTCCTTGTATAACATCGTAAGTACTCAAAGCTGCTATCAGATGCAAACTCCAGCTGCAGGATTGTTCTGAGTTGGTTTGCACTTTCTTAAATAGTCAATTCATACAATTAAAAACCACCTTTCCTTAGGGTAAGAAACTGAAAACATGTGATGCCCTCTACTTTCTAGAAATATTTTTGGTACTTTGGTCAGGTGCAGAAGGAATTTTACTTGAAAATCTAGGGCTATAAATGTCAACTTCTAACTTTCCCACTCCCTAAAGTTCATAATTTATAACACAAATTGTGAATATTTAAAAATCCAGATACTGCTTAGGTCATTCAGAGCTATGCTTGATAGATGACATTGGAAAAATACAGAACTAGCATTCCTAAAGCCACCTGAACTCATCTTTAGGCTTTTTATTTACAGTGCTGTCCAGAAGAAAAAGTTACACTACTCAATCTATCCCAGATGCCTGCTTAGTAAGAGCTGCAGTTTACGCCAAGTTTGTCCTTGAACATCACACTGTACTACTTTTTGTATTGCTAACAGTAAAACACATCAACCCAAATCTCATGAAGGCAGCACATCCTTAGTAGGAGCAACTATATATAAAAAGTACCAACACCAGTGGTTTGAATATAAAAATTTATTAAGTCAAAGTATGCAACAAATAAAACCTACTGAAAACAGTTTTTTTCCCATCACAGTCTGTTGCTTTACCAAATAATATTTTGAAAACACATTCCTTCAGTCATATAAAGTTCTTAAAATACAAAAGAAATGAAATCTGTAAGAAAGCCTAGTAGACCAGATGCTGTGGTTAGGATTTGTGTTGGTCTTGTTTTCAGTACATCCCACGCCATCCGCCTCCACTCATGCCGCCTTGCCCATAGTAACCTCCACTGCCTCCACCACCACGACCTTAAGAAAAAGACATTAAGAACAGTTATCAGGGATGTCCACAAAAGGCATTAGAAGTACCACCTACACTTTAATTATGGGTACCACCACAAACCAAAAAAACAATCACTTACCATAACCGCCCAAGCCATCAGGTGTGCCGTACCCTCCACTGTAGTTGTTCCCCATTCCCATTCTTCCAACAGATCCATATCCTCCTTGGTTATCTTTACACACACAAAAAGAGAAACACTGATGCTGACTGGCAAGTAGCCAACACTGTTTATTTTAAAAAGTGTATGTGGCTAGGCTTGTGGGGACATGCTGAATTGCTAATAAGGCAGGAAGAGTTTTAAGGCAGCCTGGGCTACGTGAGAACCCCACCCCTACCCACCTGAAAAAACAAAACTTACATACCCATTCCATCTCTGCCATAGCCTCCCATTCCAGAACCTCCCATTCCAGAGCCACCTCCAGGGGTAGAATTCAAGAAGAGCTCAATGTATCGATGTTCTTTAAGGGAAAAAAAGGGGACGGGGAGTGTGAGAGTAATAGTGGAGAGAAAGGTCTGTTGGACCAAACATATCAATTAAAAGTCAGCTAGTATTAAAGTAGATTCATGTGCAGATAAATCAGTTTATTTAAGGTAGCCATAAAGGTCAAACATTTACATGACAACAGTTTTAAGCTCCAGGAATACGAGAGCTTCTTATGACACTATATTTTTAAACAAACATTGCACAAACTCATACACCTAGAAAAAAGATAGCATGCGAAGGACAGCACTTACGCATGTTATTTTTATCTTTGGACATGGCAGCTACTGCATCTTCATGTGTCACAAACTCTACATCTGCTTCTCCTGTTGCTCTGCCATCGGCTCCAATATCAATATGAACTCGTATTGGATTTAGTGGTGAGAAGAACTAAATAAAACAATTATTACTTTTTTATTCCAGTTATTCCACTGCTCTATGTTGCTAAGCTAATTAACTACCAAGGGTCTATGAAGGCTACAGCCTGTAACTCCAGCATTTTGGAGGTATAGGCAGGTCAAGATCATCCCTGGCTATAGAGGTGCTCAGCTTGGGTCATATCAGACAACAGGGAGTACATATTTAAAATGAAAATCGCCGAACTGTGGCTATAGCTCCACAACAGAGCCCTTGCCTAGCATGTATTAGGCCCCAGGTTCAATCCCCAGCACCAAAAAAAGTGCCTAGCATGACCTATGAGGTACACTTTCAATCCTAGTACTCAGGAGACTGAAACAGGAGTACCTTGAATTTGCGGTTGTTTCAGACCCTACTATGGAAACGAAAATCCTACCTGTTTGACCAGTCTTCCACTATTCCTAATTATTTTATGAACATACTTTTTAGTTACTTGAAATTTTATGTAGGGCACAAATACGTATCAATGATTACAGGTAAGGTAGATAATTATTTCAATTTATGTGTGTAAATGTTTAAACTCCATTAAGTGCAGCTGGGTGTACAATGCCTATGAAGGCCAGAAGAGGGTGTTGGATCCCCCTGGAACTAGAGGTATGGATGGTTGTTAGCCATGTAGGCACTGGGAAGCAAACTAGGGTCCTCTGCAAGATCAGTCAGTGCTCTTAAGTGCTGAGCCATCTCTCCACATCCTCATTTATTTATTTGGTCTTAAAATGTACCCATGTTGTGCAGTGCCTGCCGAGATCAGAAGAGAGCATCAGATCCCCTGGAACTGGAGTTAGGGACAGTTGTTGGCTGCTGGGAAGCAAACCCAGGTCCTCTGCAAGAGCAGCCAGTGCTCTTAACCACTGAGCCACCTCTCCAGCCCCTTATTTGATATTAGCCCTTGATCTCAGAGATCTGCATGCTTCTGACGCTTGTATGCTGGGATTAGAGGTGCATGCCACCATGCCTGGCTCTTATAGTCTTTACACTCAAGTTTTTCTGTGATGTTGGGAGTGGAACCCAGGGCCTCCTGGATCTTGGCATTAACTATCAAACATGAAGTATGGGAGTCAGCCTATCATAGTGGTTGCACATAATCCCAGCACTTGGGAAGCCAAGTTAGGAGGGTTGCCAAGTTCTAGTTTAGTCTGAACTACATTGAGACCCTGTCTCAAAACAAAGCAGTAATAATGACAGACAGAAACACCAAGTATAAAACCACAATTACTCACATTAGCAATGTCATTTTCAGTTGCACGGAAAGGCAGCCCTCTCATGTGTACAAAATGACCACCATGAAAACCTGAACTTGCATCACCAGCTCCGCCATAGCCATGTCCTCCCATACCTAAAAGATAAAATTTACCAAGATTATAAATCATTATGGACTCATACATATGGCAAGATATAAAATCCCTATAAAGGAATGTACTGAAATAGGCTTCTATTAACTATTTCCGAAGTCACATTACCCTGAAACTTTACAAAGGAAATATTTCAGAATGAAAGTATTTTTGGTTTACCTCTTCCGTCTCTCATTCTGTCATCAAAGCCCTCATTTCCATAGCCGTAATTATTATAACCACCATAGTCATCAAAACCTCCATAGCCTGTACAAATTGAAGGAAAAAGACGTGAATACCTTTCTGAAAGATTAATTTTGTAGGCTAGTTTACAAAAATCTTATTTTGTGGCAAACAGTCTTTTAGCTTCTTCGTCACATGTCTGCCACCAACTTGGCCCATATAAACAAAGCATTTAACACTTGATGGAAATTAAAAACCTTCACAGGATAAATTCAGACGCAACATGAAAATCAATCTCATCTTTACACCAAGAAGAAAATATACCAATTATCTTCATTTTTATTTTTGCATTAAGTTTCCTAGGTGCCCAGTATGTGCATCAGTCAAGTTCCACAGTTGGTCGTGGGAATCCATGTTTTCATCATCAGGTTTGAAAACTTCATAGGTACTGAAATTACTGCCATTTCTGTATTTCTTGACAAAGTGTCAGGAACACCAAGAAAATGACAACAGAACCTTTGTTCATTACACATACCACCATCATATCCATCACCTCCTCGCCGCATTCTGTCATACATACTTCCACGCCCAGCTCCATAATAACCCCCTCTTCCTCCTAGTGGTCTATCATAGGGTCCGGGTCGCTGTCCCAGCAATCTTCTTGGTGGATCATAAAATCCTTTGATTTCACTCCTGCTGCTCCTGAAGATCTCAATATACCTATTCAAAAATGGTTTAAGGTACAGGCTTCAGCATGAATGCATTAGAGTAAATTAGATAATGGGCAAAATGCAGTAAGCTTTTCTACATCTAAGTACATAACCCAATTTAAATTGCCTAAATAAACCATAAGGTAACAAACATTTTATACCTACAAACTTAAATATTAAATATTTAAGTTTTACATAGACAAATTGAGTGATTTGAAAGCAATTAATGATCAATTTATTTTAGTTTGTTGCCTTTAGTACATGATAGGTGTTTAAGAAAAATAGGTGATTATACAAAAACATTTAACAACATCCTATAAAGAAATGGAAACAATCTAATTTTAATTTAAACTATTAGCATCAATTCCCCACCCAAATCTGTAGTTTCCATGTTAAATTTAGATAATTATCAATTCTTTAAAAACTACCCCAGAAAAATGTTATGGTTACCCCCCCATTTAAGTAAGTGACCCACAACCCCCAAAAATAAAAATTTAACACCATCCCAAACTCTCCATCCCCACCTGTGCCCTATTCTTTCCTTGTGTTTCCCCAGAGCATTTTCTGCTATCTCCTTTGAAGCAAACTGCACGAAGGCCTCCCCTGTGCTTCTCCCCTGGTAGTCCATCGTCAATGTTATCCCATTTGGCACGATTTCCAACCCTTTAACCCAAGGACAAATACCCCATCAAGGGGAACAGTGTTAAAGGCTGAAACATTCCCATCTGAATCAATTATTTAAAACAAGTCTAAAGAAAACAAAACAAAAGGCTTAATTTCCCATCACCCCATAATACAAATGGAATATTTTTCAAGTATCACTGGATTAAATATTTTGTAACCAATGTCTTTTAAAATTACACTCTAAAAGCTCACCTATATTACATGGAAAAAACTACAAATTAAATTTAACTGTGCTCCAAAATGCTAACTCATAGCTAATGTCCACAATTATTCTCAATTAACTGCACATCAATTAACTTTATATACTCTATACATTCTGTACTGAATAGTAACTGGAGCACATGTTTATTTTAATATATAACCAAGATTATCACAATTACAAGTCCCAAATCAAATGGATTCTACAAATCGAAAACTGAGCAAGACACTAAAAATATGCAATTAAAATACTACTAAACTTTGACTAATACTAGAGGTACCTTGAAAGAACTGAACTATTTCCTCTTTGCTGCAACCAAATGGTAGTCCACGAAGTCGTACCGTCCCATCACTAGCGTCATTTGGACCATTATGTTTCATAACCCAATCCATCTCAATACCGTTTGATTTAAATGCTCTAAGAAATAAACAAGCACATACAGGAGTTAAAATATACTCTTATCAAGAGGCCAAACAAAAAACACTTCAGAAGTGCCACAGCAGGAAATACAGGAGCTAAAGTAACTCCTGTGACAACCCACAACACAATGGCTTATTAATTTTCTACAGGAGTTCAGAAAGGCTTCAATGAAACTCAACAGCCTCTGATCGAACTACTTACATACTGATTGCCTAATAAAAACGTATGATTCTAATTCCAGATTACTTATTATTTTAATTGTTTTGAAACAAGGTCTTACTTGGTAGTCTAGGCTAGCCTAAACCTCAAGAAGGCCTCCTGCTGGGATTATAGATAGGCTCAAGTCACCTGCCCAACTGCAAGTTGTTTAAAGTCTGACTCATTTGGAAAGTATATAGCAGTCATTGTTCAAATTGAGAAGTTAAAAAACAAAAACAAAAAGGCAATGTAGCCAGGCTGCAATACTAGCACTTGAGAGGCAGCGCTCCAGGTCATCCTTTGACTACCTGGCAATTTGAGGCCAGCCTGGGCTACAAGAGGCCCTGCTTCAAAAATAAAATAGAGGTCAAAGGTTACTCAAAACCAAATGCCAAAGGCAGATCTCTGAAATCAAAGCCGGTCTCGTCTACATAGAGTTCCAGGCCAGCTGTGCCGGTCTCAAAAAAAAAAAAAAAAAGCAAAACACCCAACCAGATGCCAAGTGAGGCATAGCAGTGCACCCCCCAAGATCCCAGTACTTGGGAGGTTGAGACAGGAGGGCTATGATATGAGACAAGCTAGGACTCCACAGAGACCTAACAAACCCATCAAAGTGAATGTCTTTCAGCAGTAACATATTGTGAAGATGTTTGGGAATCACTGAGGATGTATACAACCAGTATGCTTACTGCTTTATCTTTTTAATCAAGAGGGTTTCAATAAAAGGTAGTATATTCACACAATAAGCCCCCTCCTTCCTCAAAATGCACACACACCCTTGCCACAGCCAGTTACTTCCCCAGAGGCAGCCAGCCACCTTTGCTTTCAAAATTCCAGACCATTTTCAAGAGGCTAATGCAGAAGTCCTTCAGCTGCGGAAACTTACCAGCTCTCACACCTCATCTGCAGCTGTAGGAATTCTACTCACCTGAATATTCCAAACCTTTTTTCCCTCACCTCCTCCCCTGTAAACAATTTCTTCACTTGATTCTTTTACGCTTCAAGATATTTCATGTTAACACCATTCACTAATGGTTAATTCCATGATAATCATCCATTAGAGGCAGCATCTATAAGGGTTAAGATCTCTAGTTTTCTGAACCCTGTGACAGTATACTCCTGCAATCCTAGCAATGGGGAGGCTGAAACAAGAGGTGAATTCAGAAGGCCAAGGCTAGCCTTATTACATGAGACTGTCAAGAAAAGAAAAAAAAAGAGCAGTAAACAAAAATTTCCCTTTCTAGAGTTTCATCAAAGAGCTTAGGAATGTATAGAGAGGCAGTAGAGTAGCAGGCACCAGCCCTTGGAATAAAATGATCCATGCATTAAGGTAATATTTAACTTTTCCAAAAGTGGTTCTTAATCTCTACACGTCTTGTGTGTGCCAGGAGATACGTTCTGAGCCCATCTGGTTTCAAAAATGAAGTCGTTACCACTCTAGGGACAGGACCAAAATGGGAAAAACATTTTTAAATTGGCACAACTGATTCTTAGGTACAGATTTGATAAAAATTTAAGAGCTGGGCATGGTGGCACACACCTTTAATCCCAGCACTTGGGAGGCAGAAGCAGGTGGCTCTCTGTGAGTTCCAGGCCAGCAACCAACCAACCAACAATAACAACAAAAGCATGGTTTTGAGTGACTCACTACTCTGCCATTTACTGCCTACTTAAAATACTTAACTTGTGAGTCTGATATTCAACTATAAAATAGGTGCCAACACCTCACTGCTGTGTTTTACAAGAACTATTTAAATTCTGGTTCTGGCCTGCTTCAGAGTAAACATTCTCTGGTGACAATTTTAAGACTTTATGGGCCCTGTAAAACCAATGAAATATACCACAAAACATCTGAACTGTAAAGGATAGGAAACCATTTTCAGCCCTCCCTCTCCCATTTTCTTAAAAACCAAACAGAAAACAAGAACCAGAGATACAGCTCAAAGGTAGAGAAGTGTGCCTACCTACCATGCATGAGGCCACAGATTCAATCCCCAGCACCACAAAACAAATCCTCCCCCTTCTCACACATGGTGCTTCTGTGGTTTTTCTCTTCCTCAATTCGGAATACTGCTTTTGCAGACAGTATGAACTCAGTTTGGCCTCAACCTCCTTTCCTTATGAAGAGGGTCTCTATAGCTTGGATTCGCCTTCAAGGCACAGCTGTCCTCCTGCTTCAGCCTCGCCCACACCAAGCTTTGGCCTTCAAGTCTTCAATTTCAACATCAATTCTGGGATACAGGCCAGCACCATGACACCCAGCTTAGGACACTCTCCCCCTGCCCCAATGTGAAGACTGTAATAAAATACAGACTTGTACTTCAGTAATAAATGCACGGAAAAGCGCTTCTTAAAAAAGCATAAGACGGGCCAGGCGTGGTGGTGCACGCCTTCAATCCCAGCACTCGGGAGGCAGAGAAAGGTGGATCTCTGTGCTCTGTGCGTTTAAGGCCAGCCTGGTCTACAAAGTTGAGTTCCAGGACAGCTGGGTGAAGACTGTAATAAAATACAGACTTGTACTTCAGTAATAAATGCACGGAAAAGCGCTTCTTAAAAAAGCATAAGACGGGCCAGGCGTGGTGGTGCACGCCTTCAATCCCAGCACTCGGGAGGCAGAGAAAGGTGGATCTCTGTGCTCTGTGCGTTTAAGGCCAGCCTGGTCTACAAAGTTGAGTTCCAGGACAGCTGGGGCTACAGGGCGGATCTTTGTGCGTTTAAGGCCAGCCTGGTCTACAAAGTTGAGTTCCAGGACAGCTGGGGCTACAGGGAGACCCTGTCTTCTCAAAAAGACCCCCCCCCCCAAATAAAGCATAAAACTTAACATTTCTGTGTCTGGAATCTGCTGGTACTAATGAGAAAGGCCTTATGAAAACAACCAAGTATTCTAAATGAAAAACCACTAACTACTAACAATTCCCCTTGTTACACTGATTTACTGTGCCCATGCTGCATATGGGAGCCCTCCTGCCAAGGAGCATGTGGAGGTCAGTGGACAACTTGTGGGAGTCAGTTCTCTCCTTCGGATTAAATTAACAGTATTTATCCAGGAAAAGCTAGCCAGATTTGGATCACAAACTATTTCACTGAGTGACTTTCCATTCCATATCTGAAGGCAATTAACAAAAACTAGTCTAAGCCAGGTGTGGTGACATAGGCCTTTAATCCCAGCACTGGGGAGAGGCAGACAGGCAGATCACTGATCCAGGCCAACCTGGTCTGCCAAGAGTTCCAGGCCAGCTGGGGCTATAGGGAGATCCTGTCTCAAAACAAGATCAAGGCCAGCCTGGTCTACATATCAAGTTCAAGGTCAGCTGGGGCTATAGCTGCTGACAGTTTTGTCAAAAAGATGAGACAAAATCAACAAGAACAAAACCCAAAAAGAATGCCTTCTTTTTGGAATAAATGTGCTGTAAAATTAGACTGTCATGGTAATTTGACAACTGTAATGTAAAAACCACAGAAACAGAATTCCAACAAGAGATGGTGGGTGGACTTGAACTAGGATGGTGGCTCCAGCTGCAATCCCAGCACTTCAGAGGCAGAAGCAATCTACGCCTGTTAAAGTCAGTCTGGGCAACAGCAAGACAACCCCTGCTTCAAAAAGAAAAAAGGCCATGATCCCAGCACTTGGGAAGCTGAGGAAGGCGGCTTGGGGACCAGCCTGCAGTACATACCTAGTTATAATAGCAAGATCCCAACTCAGACAACCAGAAGGAAAACTGTCTTTAGTGTAATCCCATTAAGGAACCTTGAATCCACATCACTTTGTGCTTTAGGGTTGATTCCAGGCTATCTGTACTATCTAAGCCCCAAGGACCTGCTCCCCCCCCACCACGCTTTTAAAAAAAGTATTTTTTTTAAATTTGTATTGCCTGCATGTAGGCAAGTGCACCTGTGTAGGCGCAATGCCTTCGGATGACAGAAGAGGCTGTAGGATCCCTTGGAACTGGAGTTACAGTTGTTAGCTGCCATGTGGGTGCTGGGATTCGAACCTGGGTCTTTTCCATTCAGTGTTAACCGCTGAGCCCCATGGACCTGCTGTCCCCCTTTTGAGGCAGAGTCTTACTTTGTAGCCCTAGATGACCCCGAATGTACCAAAATCAAATTCCTCCCACCTCAGCCTCCCCAGTGCTAGCAGTACAGGCAAATGTCACTACTAGGTTTTTCTTTGGCAATCTGTGACACACTATCACAGAATATCAACAATATGTTGGTCTTTTTTTCCAGCTTTGGTGTTTAAAGCTTGGAAAGTACATAAAAGACTTCTCTTTAACCATTTTCAGGCAGGGTGTCCTTTTTCCTGTTTACTGTCTTCAGTGAAAATCACAACACAATGGGACTGGAGAGATGGCTGTTTAAGAAGCTGGTTGTTCTTGCAGAAAACCTGGGTTCAAATCTCCCAGCACCCACTTGGCAGCTAACAACTGTCCCTAACTACAGTTTCAGGGGATCCAACAGCCTCTTCTGTCCTCCCGGACATTGCACGACACGCGTGCACTTACCTACATGCAGGCAATACACGCATACACATAAAAAGAAAAAAAAAAAGGTATAGAACTCTTCGTATATACACATACATCGTTGTGCCATGACTGGTTGTGTTCCCAAAAGTAAAACGCCTACTTAAAACCAACTTCTAATCTACACAAAACCCATCACTAATCTACCTATCCCGGCCCAAAAGTTCAAAAATCCGTTATATGTCACTGGGCTCCGATCTACTTGAATATACCCATTTCATTCCATTCCTATTGGATGAACCACCCATTTTTCTTAACAAAATTAGTCTTCATAAACTGTAACCCTGGAGAACAAAGATGTACCCTCCGGACGATGTGTACGTACTCTTTTTATCCCCGAAGTTCCAAATCTGGACTGTAGGGGCCGGCTAAGCGTCCTCTCTCCCGGGAGACCAGGGAGCTGCCTTTCTCCGGCCTGGCCCGGGCGCACAAGCCACCGGGTTACAAAAGACAGCGGCGGTCTCCTTTGTCCCGGGCCTGGGAAAGGGGCGCCGCGCCGCCACCGGCTCTGCCTTCCCCAGCCCCCGCCTCTCCCCGGCAATCTGCGTCATTGGGCCTCGCCGTCCAGGTAGCCCCGCCGAGACCTCGGAGGGAAGACGGGCAGAGGGAGGACCGGCGGGAGGACACGGGAGGGAGGCCCGCCGGGCGCCATTTCCACCCGAAGTGCGCGGCGCAAGTCTCCGGGCTCCCGGCCTGACCTCACCTTCCCGGGAGCCCCGACCCAACCCTCCGCCATCGGCTTTCCGAAGCACTTTCCGGAAGCTGGAGAACAAAACAGTAGCCCGAACTGATAAAGGCGGGAAGGCGACCGGACCGCGCCACCGGCTCCAAGATGGCGGCGGCCCGGGGAAAGCGGGGAAAGGCGGCCGGATGGGCCTAGGGCTCCGACTTGGTTTTAGCTCCGGGCTCGAGTTCCGCCCGGCCCGGCCGCAGCGCCCCAAGCTGGGCGTTCTCCAGGCTAGACACCGCCCGAGGCCGGAGCGGCGAGCTCCACACCCTCCACCCGCTCCCGGGCTCCCTCGTCGACCCCCCGACTCCGCTCTCCGCACGGCCGGCCCAACCTACCCCCTTCTACTTCAGATAACCAGTCGGGCGCTGGCCACGCCGGCGCCGGTGCTCGCCGAGGTCGGGCCGTGGGCGGGGACACGCCGTGCGTCCCGGGTCGAGTTCCCCACAACGGTTTTCCCCAACCGTCTCTGAAGGTAGCAACCGCTGAGGGAGCTGCGCAGCAGAGCAACTGACTTGGGGGGATGGGAGAGAGCGAGCCGGGCAGAGGGGGCGGGGCGAGGAGCCGGGCGGCCGCACTACTCTCGCGATACTTGGCCGGCTGCTCCGCCAGGGGCCAAGGCGGTGCGAGGTGCGCATGCGCATTGTGGACCGGACCAGTGAGATGGGCAGGTGGATTCCGTACTTCTTGCTTACCCAATAACCGTCAGATCTCAGAGCTCCTCTTTGCTGCCTGTCGGGGAGGGCGTGACGGGAGGGGGCGGGGGAGGGGGTGTCTGCGGAACCGTGGTATCGCCGTTTGCAGACGCTCCTGCTCCGCTGGGGGTCAACCCCCCAGGCCCCGCCCCTTACCCCACTTTGAAAGACAGCCACGTGGTTCTGACCCCCAAACCCGAGAAAGGCTTTTCTCGTCCACCATGTTTGCATTATGTAGTTACTGTTTCTTGTCCAGTAAGACACAAATTTTCCACCGGGCTCCCGGCCTGGGGTTCCCCCTTTGCTCTCTCCACCCCTAGCGCTGCCAGCCGCCCCGCAGCCTGCCTGGTCGTACCTCGCAGGTTTGGTTTCCTACCTACCGCGATTCTATTTTCCGTCCCTTACGATCCCCGTGACTCATCCTCGACTCGTGGCAGTAGACTAAGGGTTTTCTAAATAGACTTTGGTAGTTCTGAAAATTGTGCTTACAAGAGACACCTAGGAGATAGTGGGGGGGTGGAGGGGGGGTCTTGCTACCAAGAGTCTGTGTGATTCATGCGGTTTGGTTAGTTTTAATACAAATGCACGTCGAATTTCTGGGAAGAGCGGTGAACAAAACAAGTTAAAGGGCGAAGATAGTGCGAGGGAAGGGAGGAAATGGGTTTTACTATAGTAGAGGCAGGATGGGTTAGGGTTGTGAACGTGGAGCTAGGTTGTAATCACCCTCCAACGCCCGGTCCAAAGATTGCTTTGTGCTTCAAACGTTGTGAAAGCCCGTTTAGTGGAATGGAGCCTTCATAGCATGGAAAGATGAATTTTATTTACCATGAGATTTGTAGTGTGTAGAATGGAGATAGAAAGCCAATTAACTGAGGGGTAATGGAAACTTTCATTTCACTGCTTTAATTCATCTTCAGACTTTAAATATGTCGCAGGTAAGAATTGCCTGGGTCATTAGTGCCTTACTGCCATTTTTTTTTAGTCCAAAATACTCAGAGAAAGGGGGGAGGGGCTTTGTGGTCATCGTTATTAAGACAGAAAAACCAAAAGAGGATGTAGTGGCTGCAGTAGCTCACATTTGAACTAAGCACAGTAAGCAATTCGTTGTCTTTGATTTTTGGTAGCCAAGGATGAGTTTGAACTCCTGACCCTCCTTTCCCCACTTCCCAAAGTGCTGGGCTCATCTGTCTTTGTCTAGCTCTGAAAAAGAGCATTTTCCAGGTGAGTTTCGTCTTCCAAGAAAAGTGAAAATAGTTGCCCAAGGTCATAAAGTTAAATGATAGAACTAGGTAACACTAAACCCTTTTTGTGGTTACAGATAAGTTAGTTTATTGACTGGAAATTTTTGTTGAAACTGTTGTCCTGTTAGCTCTGTGACTCCCTTAAACACCTTTGCTTTTTAAACCTTTCTTTTTTAAATAGCTGGGGATTGAATTTAGGGTCTGAAGCATGTTCTCTCTTTTAAAAGTAATTAGTCTGTTAGTAAAACTCAAGCCCCACACTTTCAGTTCTTCCCTCGCTCCTCCTTCCATGGGCTTAAATTACACAGCTGCGCTGGGCATATAGTTCAGGGGTTGAGTGCTTACCTAGCATGCCTGAGGCCCTGGGTTCAATCCCCAATAACACACACGTGAACACACACACACACACACACACACACACACACACAAATATCCTTGTGGTTACCTGGGGCCCACCTTGACAATCCAGAATAATCAGTTTATTATTTTTTCTGTTAGCAACCTAATTCCTCCTTGCTATCTCTGTGAGTTCAAGGCTAGCCTGGTCTACATAGTGAGTTCCAGGACAGCTGGGGCTACAGGGAGACCGTGCTTCAAAAAGACAAAGAAACCCAAAATATACTCTTGTACAACTTTGGGGAGAAATATTTTAGCTTCTATATGTATTAACAAGGCTTGAAACTTCAGGATGTTATGTAAGAAGTTTGGAGATAGGAACTCCTAGGGGTTATCCAGCAGGTTAACTACAACATCAAAAACCATGTGAGTTCCAGGCCAGCCTGGTCACCTTGTGAGTTCCAGCCCAAGCACTGAGAGCTACACAGTGAGACCCTGTCTCAAACACCCCAGAAACCACATTCTTGCTGGCCACATACATTTGATCCCAGCACTTGGGAGGCAGAAGTAGGCAGATCATTATGAGCTGGTCTACATAGAATTCCGGGCCAGCCAGGGCTACACAGTGAGACCCTGTCTCAAACAAATAAATAAACCAACATCCCATGCACATTTTTCCTTGTCTAAATTAAAAAATTTTTTTATTATTTTTCTTTTATGTGTACGAGTGTATTGCCTGCGTGTATGTGAGTGCACCCGTGTCATGCAATGTTTCAGAGGTCAGAAGAGGGCTTCGGATTCCCCTGGAACTGGAGTGCCGCCATGTGGGTGCTGGGAATTAAACCCAGCTCCTCTGCAAGAGCAGCCAGTGCTCTTAACTGCTGAGCCATCTCTCCAGCGCCCCCCCATCTAAATTTTACCTTTCTATCTTATTTGTCCCTTCATGGTGCAAAGACCAGATCTTTGCACTTCCAGCATCAACAACATGTTCAACACAGGAAAAAAGAGGAAGGGTGGGGCAGGCTCTTCTCTTAGCTGTGCTCCTTTTATCAGAAAGCAAAATCTTTTCCCCAAATCCCTGTAGCAATCACTCCCTAACTGAGTCCTATAGCCATCTCAAGCGGCAAAGGAATCTGGAAGGTTGAGCAACTGGCAAAGGGAGGGAGATTGTCCTGCCTGGGTTCAGGCCATTTACAGCTCACTGGGGCTCTGCATCCCTATAGCCAAACAAACCCCAGTACTTCCCGGACAGACAGGGAGGGCTGTATGTGTTTTGAGTGGAGGGCTAGGGACATCTAGCTGTTGAACAGGCAAATGTCACCAGTGAATCCATTCCTTTAAGCAGACCTTTTTTTTTTTTCATTTAAGAAGCAACCCAGTAATTCTAGAAGCCTAAAAAAGGTACTTAAAGGTTGGATTTTTCCTCAGTAATGAATTTAATTAAAAAAAAAAAAAATCAAGGGGGCTGGAGGGATGGCTCAGCGGTTAAGAACACTGGTTGTTCTTACAG